CAGTGCAGGGAAGAGGGGCAGGAACGGGACAGAGCCAGGGCTGAGGGTTTATTTCTGTGCCAAACAGCCGCACGAAGCCATTGCAGGGGTGTGGGTGGGATCTGTGGGGACAGTGGGGGCTGCCCCAGTGCCCAGCCAGCCCCCCTGGCAGGGCCAGCACTGCTCCACACCACAGTCACCCCGGAGCATCCACAGTGCCTGGGGAGGAAGAGGCAGAGCTGGAGAAGCTGCAGCCCCAGGGCCCGGCTGAGACGGAGCTGGGGACAGTGCTGGGAGAGGGCTGGGCAGCCAGGGAGCAGCCCCTCATGTTTTCCAAGGCGGTTTTGAGCACTAGCTCCAAGAAACATGATTTTGGAAGCAGCTTTTGCTGGGCTGTGCCGAGATCCCAGGCTCCTGCCAGGCCTGGCAAAGCTGCTGGAGCTAATTGTTTCCATGTCCTCCTCAGCGCCAAACTGACATCAGCTCCTGGGGAAGCAGAGGGAAGGAGAAAAAGGGGGAAAGGGAACAGGGGCTTGTCTGAGAGGAGTTGGAGACAACAAGCCATGCACTGAGGTGGCAGCAGGACTGGTCACTCACGCTGGGGTGCAGGGCACTGATGCAGGATCAGACCCTGTTGTGTCCCCTCCGGAGAGAAGGAGAAACCCCCCCACTAGTCTGTAACAGCCCCCCTCATGGTATGGTCCTGGGGTCTCTCACTGCAGGGACTGGGGGCTGTGGTCCCCAGCCAGGGGCTGCAGCCCCCCTCTCCTGGCTCTGCAAAAACATCCAGCCCCTGGGGCTCGGAGCATGTGGCAGGGGGTGAAGAGGGAAGCAGGGCTGGGACAGCACGTTCTGCATGTCCCAGTTCTCCCTGCAGCTGGTGCATGTGTGGCTGGGGGCTGTGGCCCAGCACCATCCCTGCCCTGTCCTGCAGTGGCAGATTTCCCAGGTTAAATGTCTCGAGGCAGGGTGCTATAAAAAGCCCATGTGGTGCAGCCGACGGGCTGGACCCAGCCCACAGCCACATCCAGGAGCTTCCCTGCCCTTCCTGCCAGGCCAGGAGCCGGGAGGCTGCCCAAACATCCAGCTGTCACCTCTGCCACTGGGATGGGGATCAGGGCTGGCGCAGGGGCTGAACAGATTTCCCAGGTTAAATGTCTCGAGGCAGGGTGCTATAAAAAGCCCATGTGGTGCAGCCGACGGGCTGGACCCAGCCCACAGCCACATCCAGGAGCTTCCCTGCCCTTCCTGCCAGGCCAGGAGCCGGGAGGCTGCCCAAACATCCAGCTGTCACCTCTGCCACTGGGATGGGGATCAGGGCTGGCGCAGGGGCTGAAAACCCTGCCAGGCTGGTGGGCCGGGGCCAGAACAGCCCGTGTGCCTG